CTGACAGTTATTGGGAAAACATTTGGCGTGCAGGCAGCTGCCAGAAAGCAAAAGTCACTCTGAGCAGACCAGGGTGGGGAGCATCTCGGAGACTAAACTACTCCCTGGCCCTTTTTGCATTTACAGTAATTCTTTCCAATAAGAAATGTGCTGCCAGCGCCTAAAGCACTCATTAATTAGTTAATCCTGGACTGAATGCAAGAATGATTAAAGACTCTTGTAGATTGTTTCAGTCTTGATCGGCTTTTACTTTTTTTCCCCAATCCTGTCATAATTTGTCTCCTTTCTACACGAGTTTTTACTAAGGCTTCTTCCAGGAAATAGAAAAGGCAAAGGGAGAAGTGAATGGCCAAGGGAGAAGTGAATGGCCAAGCCCTGCTGCACTTGCGCTATGCTGGTCAAAGTGGATCTTCATTAATGACCTGATACTGGAACAAAGTGCAGCCTCAACAAGCTCATGGGTGGCAACAAGTTGGAGCAATAGATATGCCAGAGTGCAGAGCTGCCATTCAGAGGGTGCTCAACAACCAGGGAAATGGGCCAACGGGAACCTCATGGAGTTCAATAAGGACAATTGCAAAGTCTTGCAGTGAGGGAGAAATAACCTCAGTACTACTGAGGGGCAGCTGAAGAGAAAACAGCTCTGCACAAAAAAACTTGGATGTCCTGTGTGCCCTTGAAGGAAGAAGCCAAATGGCTCATTGGGCGGTATTAGCAAGAATGTAGCTAATGAGACACTGTTCACATCTGGAGTACTGTGTCCAGCTGCGAGCTCCTCAGTACAAAAAAAGTCATTGACAAACGGGAACAAGTTGAGCGAAAGGCCACCAAGCTCATTGAACTGGACCAAAGGCATCCAAGGAGAGACTGAGAGACAGCTTTGTTCAGTTTGTAAGAGAGGATCTACCTACAGCCATCGGGCAACTAAGAGGAGGGTATAGAGAAAATGAAGCCAGACCCTTCTTGATGGTGTACAGTCAAAGGAAAAGAAACAACACTCACGAGTTGCAGCAGATGAAATTCCAATTAGATACAATTTTTTAAAATACTTTCACAGTGAAGGTGGTCAAATACTGGAACAAGTGCCTAGAGAGGGTGAGGGATATTCATGCTTGGGAATATTGAAAATTTGACTGGACAAGACCCTGATCAACCTAATGTAACTTTAAATTTAGCTATGCAATGAGCAGTGTGGGGCCAGATGACATCCAGGGATCCTCTCTGACCTAAATTACTCTATGACTTTATTCTGTGATGTTGGAAAGTATACAGACTACCTTCTGTAAAAACTTTGTGTCACAAGCATTTTGAAGGAAAGCTGCTCTTGGCAGATGTTGTTGTTGTTATTCCTTTGAGAAATCATCTGAGTCCACATGTTTTTCCCTGTCAAGATTGATCAGTTTACAAATGAAATATATCGCAGACTTAGGAGACTGCCACAGTAAATTTCAGAGAGTGTGTGACATGTGATTTTATGGCTTGTTGACCATTGGTCTGTTGCTGAGAAGCAAATCAGAGCATCTTCCAAGGTGTCCTCATCTGCATATAGTGGTACAGGTCCTATTGCAGCTGTGATTCTTGGTTTCTGCTGCATTTGCTACACTGATCTCCCCCACGCACCATATTTTTTCCCCAAGCATTCCCCGTTACAGCGTTCCAAAAGACCCCCTGTTCCTCTCCTCCAGAGGTCATTCTTTATTTTATGTTGCTTTCTTGTTTCTCTAATATCAGCTCTGTGTTACCTTATTCATATAAGTAATCACATTCCTTCTTTCTTTTAATAACTTCAGCAGGGTTTTCTTCTGCCAAAGCAGACTTCGGCCTCTTCAGGAATCTGCTTGGTAGAGTACCATGGAATAAAGCCCTGGAGGGAAGAGGAGCCAAAGAATGGTGCTCTTTATCTACCACTCAGTGGCTAAGCTGGATGGTCACTGCTTGATGTCCAAGTGGAGACCAGTGACAAGTGGCATTCCTCAGGGGTTGGTATTGGGACCAACATTGTTTAACACCTTTGTCAGTGGCATGGACAGTGGGATCAAGTGCACCCTCAACACTACTTTCCTGTAGTCTTTCTGTGACCAAACCCATTCCCAAGACCTGTCTTTAGCTGGGGTCTAGGTAAAATTTCATACAAGACTGTGGTCATCTAAGCACTGTCTGGACAGATCTAGTGAAGGGGAGAGGTGCGTGCTCCTGCCATTGGTCTCCTAGTCCTGCCAGATGCGGGTGCTTAGGATCTCAGCACAGTAGGTGCTACTGAGGTTTTGGCAATCGTGTTTCAAATGTGGGACTCCTGCCTAACCTGTCTATCTGCCAAGGATGACAAGTTTCTGTCATGGGAGATGTTATTGGGCTGGGTTGAACTAGCAAAGAAAACAGTTATGAGACTGGCTATTCCCAATCCAATGCTCACTATGTCAGCTTGAGCTTTACACTCTGAGAATGAGCAGGAGCTTGCAAAAGTAATCTTCCACCAATAAGTCAAGAATCCTTGCATGAAGCAATTAAGCTCTTTTCTCCCCAAATCACTGGTACCCCCCAGCTATTTTGTTTTCACCCCATCATTCCTACTATGACTATTCATTTCCCTTTTACTACCTCCTATCCTGCCTAGCCCCTCGCCTCGCATTTTGCCACTGGTCTCTGTTTCTCCCTTACAGAGGTCTCGCAGACTCCAGGGCCCTCCAGCTGATGTTTATTCGCAGCTAGTCCTAGGCCCTGCACTCCTCTGCCTTGTTCTCAGTATCCATGGGAACATCTTCATTGTCCCGCAGTTCCAAACAGAGATTCAGTGTCCACCTTCGCTTTAGGGATTCACTCCTCATCTGCTGCATGAGAGAGTGCTCTGCCTTCCTACATGATGCAAAGCTTGAGAATAGACTTTTCTATGTCAATTCTGTATTCTTGTGTCCACCTCCTAAGTTGAAAAACTGTTCGTTTGCCAGGATCTGAAAAGACAAGACCTTTTATTTTTTTTTTCCTAAACTTTTGGCTGGCAGAAGTAGAGCCACTGAAGGCAATTTCCCAGCCACAGTGTGTACTCCCCCTGCTGCCCCACTGGCCATGCTTGTCTGCATGCTTCATCCCCACCACTGCACCACTTCCTCACTGTGGGGTGGTGGAGGAGATGTTCAAGGGCGAACACTGCTTTTTCCTCTGGAGAGACTGGAGCGATGATCTGAATCATTGCCTTGCAGCCCCAGCAAGTGCAGCTCCCTAAATCAAGTCTGGGGAAAGACTTGAGTTATAATAGGGCCCATTTTCTTCTCTATGTGCTTGGAAAACTGCATGAAGGAGGGACACACCTGAAGCTCCTGCCCCTCCAGGCACTACAGCTGTTCAGTAACTCTGTACAGACGTGGTCCTAGGAAGCTGATTAATCCTTCCTGAGGACCTGTGCCTGCCTCTGGGGTACTTTCTACACAGCAAGTCCAGCAGAATGGAGCAGCTCAAGCTTTTCAAGCTTTGTATGCACTGGCTGTTTCTCAGCAGGGGGCCACTGCTTGCCTCACACCCGTTGACACCAGGGAGGTCTGTAAATCAGCTGCACAGTGATAGCACAGCCCTCTCAATGCTCATTATGCATCTCACTGCTGGAGGAAAGCACCACCTTTGGTGCCAAGTACATTAGGGAACATGCCTGGGTTTAAAAATACTCCATGGGAGGGAATCACAACATTTCCAAAGTTTGGCCTCTTGCATCACAAAAGCAGAGCATGTTCCTCACCATGGCTTGGGCAATAACAAAAGCCCAAGGCCAACAAACAAATTGAACAGCTTTAAAGCAACAAGGCTGAGCTGGGGTTTGTATACAGTGTTTGTTGCCACAATCTGGCCCAGAGTCACCATCTCGGATTTCCCTGCCAGAATGATGGAAATATAAATAGGGGCTATAAACCCGAAGTATTTGCAGCTCATACATCCAAAGGGTAGAAATTATAGTCTCTTAGCAAGGAAAATGTTCAAGGGTAGTGAGGTAATGGGACCTGGTTACAGAGCTCATTTCTCTGAAAAACTTCAATGCAGCATGGAAATTTTTCCAATGTCCTTGATGCAACCTCTGTTAAAGTATAAAATAACCCCCTGTTTCAGTGGAAAAGCCCCTTCCATGTCTTTGGGAATGAACTGCTGAGCTCCATTTTGGGAGCAGTTTCTTTCCAGCTGCTGTTTCCAGAGATTTCTGAATGGCTCCGAAGACACAGCATCAGCAAGGAATGAGATCTGGCTGTTTGAAAGATAATCCATTGCCTGTTGACTTACCTAGAAAGGGCCTCACTTTTCCATGCATTTTCTGAGAGCTGCTGCTGTTGAACCATAGGAGTCCCGGCTCCAGCCTTGCTAAATAATGTTCTGGAAGTCCACGCCATGAGTCACAGCACTGGATGAGGCGCTCAGCTCATTTGATTAATTACATTACCAGGCCTGCCATGTACTTGTTGCCTCATAGCCGTAAGAGCCTGAGATGTGCTGCGTATGTAGGAAACTGATTAAAGGGGGAATGTATGTCAATGCATGGATGTGTGCAATAGCTTTTTGAAATCCCTCATGATCTTCCCACCCACTGGGCATTGCTTCAATACCGAGTTCAATTGTCAGGAAACAAACTTGCTCCATCATCTGCATCGCACATTGCAATGAGCTTGCCAAATATGGCCAAGCTTTTAGAAAGAAAAGAGAATCCCCCCACCAGTGAATTTATGACCCTTGGCTTCACTTGTGGCTTGTTCCTGTGCATGCCTGAGTGACATGGAAACTGCAGCAAATCTCTTTGGCCTGTTTCTACACTCTCACACTTGCAGCTATGTTAAATGTTTCCTTTTTTTAATGACTGGGAGTTTTGTTTGGTTTATTACCTTCTAACGCAAGCAACCCATGATGAGAGGCACAAAGAAGAGCAACTTGTGTTAATGAAAAGGGGAAGGATGGAGAAGAAACAAGGAGAGGCTAGAAGTGTTGCTGAGGGTTTGAAAGTGAAACATCACTCCCCTCATCTCTTCCAGGTCCTTTAAGCCCGACTTTGTTCTGATCCGGCAGCATGCCTACAGCATGGCACTGGGAGAGGATTTCCGCAGCCTCATCATCGGCCTCCAGTATGGGGGCATCCACACAGTCAACTCCCTCTACTCCATCTACAACTTCTGCAGCAAGCCCTGGGTGGTAAGTGACGATCTGGCTCCACCACATGCCAACACTGCAAAGTAGATATCTGGTACCAATAAAGCACCAAAGAGCTCCCAGTCTGTTTCATAGGAGTTTGTCTCTTTAGGTTAAAACCACCATCTAAACAAACTTAGGAATCCAGCTGGAAATTCTTGGGGGTTGGGGATAACCTACCTATCAGCTTCTAGTAGTATCAAGTTCTTATTTCCTCACCCTGAGTAGGACATTTCACCTGTCCCAGACTCTAATGCATCACCAACAGGACAGCAACATCTAGATCTCTTGTAAGGTAGAGCAGTTGATTCGTAGTAGATTAATAATAGCAGATCAATAGTAGCAAGTCTCTTTCCTGATCAAAACACAATCAAACTACCTTAAAAGAAACATTAACATTCACTGTTTTAGAGGGTATCTGAATTGCATTATTTCTAGCATCTTTTATTAGATGCACCATTCTTGTATCCAGTGCCCCAGCCTAAGACTAAGGTTATCCATTTCTTGCAGAAGTGCAACCTGCACTTGTCTTCTCTTCCTACTTTTTCTGGGTGGTGCTTTTTTGTGAGGAAATTAGTGGAAAAGAAAGGCAAGAGAGGTATACAGATGATGTCCTCAACAGCTAGGTATAGGAAAAAAGGGAACATAGAGTGACAAAGACCTTGGAAAGAGGCAGAAGGAAAGTGGGAAGTATCAGTAGTTTCAGAAGGAAACCTTCAGCAGTTTCAGAAGGAAATACATGTGAAATATTATCATAAAGTCTTGGTTTATTGAGCCTGACAGACTGGATCTTGGAAACAGCTTGGGCTGAATAAGCTCCTGGGGAAGACAGGACAGTGTTTGGATATTTTGCACTGGGACTCTCCTTCATATGCTCTTTAAATTTTGTCAAGTTCACCTGGAAGTCTTAGAAAACCTGAAAAAATACTATAATTGGCTTGTCTCAGCCCCAAATCAAAGTTTGTAATAATTCCCTTGACCTGTTTGACAAATAGCTCTAAGTCAGCAGGTACTGCAGGAGAGCCAGAGGAGTAAGGTTGGCCCCTTTGAGCCACAGGAGCAACACTGGCCATAGTAGTACCTGCAGGGAGAAGTCAGATACTGATACCACTTTGGAGTCCACACCTGGGTCTTCCAAGCAGTTTCCTTCCAAAGTGCCCTCCCTGATCACTGATGATCCCAGAATGTAAATTTCCCTGCATTGTTTTAGGTCTGAAGCAGGGAACTACAAGCTATATGGATGTGACAAGGAGATGGGACTTTCCAATATGTCCCCCATGGAAAATGTTAAGATACTTTTTTAGGAATTCTCCTTACTCATTGCATAAATATAGCTTGGAATGAGATGTGACATTCATAACAAGTGGTAATTATTTTCCTCATTACTTGAATAAGTCTTTTTTGTTGTTGTTTTTTTCCTTGGACTAAATAGCCTGTTAGTCCTCACTGTGTTGATTGGTAGTTCAAATCCAGCTGAGATCTGTAATGACTCAGACTTCTATTTCCATGACTATGCAGTGTTGGATTTAATTCACTTCTTACCAAAAAGGTATCAGTGTGATAGACATGGTCATCTCAGTTTTCAGCTCTTTTATGACATCTGTAGGTTTTGTTGACACCACAAGCAGGGTCCTATCTTTTCCAAAAATGCTCTAGTGCAGTAATGAGAGTAGTGAGAAAGATCTAACTTCCCCATCACTGTATAGGTGGATGATGTACATTTGGCCTCAGTCCCCATTTGAATGAGAAGGGTTGCTGGGAACCGAAAGGGGAAGAAGAGATGCACCAAGTACGAGGCTCAGTACAACACGTTTGCAGTGTTTCCTAGAGTTGGTCTGACACACAAACATGTTGACCCCAGTGACCAGACAAAAAGTCTCCGTGTTTACACTTGCTTTTGCTGAGGAAGACAGTCATGTGACCTATTCCAACTGATTTTGGGGTTGAGACAGTCAGGGTTTAGTTGACATTTTTCAACTCATGCCTTGTAATTACATTTTGTGATAGTGTGCAGGGGCCTCAAGATGTGACAGGCCTATTCTTAGGAATCTGAAATAAAAGAAAACAAACAAACTCAACACATTGCAAAGGGAAAAAAAAAAAAAGCAGAGCTGGCAAGGCAGTGTGGGAGAAATTGGCTCTGCCAGTAACTCAGTTCTAGCTATTTTGGGTCGGGTTGTGCCATGCTTTCCTCACAGGGAATACAGCTGGCTCAGGCAACCTTCCCAGAGAATTCAAGGAAACCACTTGTACACACTTAAACCAGGTTTGCAGAATGCCTCCTACTGCTCCCATGAACACATCACTCCCCCAAACCAATGATTGTGGCGCACTAAGCAATTTAAGAGCTCCAATGGGATCTGAGCTGGTATTTGGCACCACCAAAATGTTATCAGGTTGAAGCTCAGGTAGAGATTGCAGTGGGGCATTTGAGGGCAGAAAGCTTCACTGGCAGCAGAATCAGAAAGTTTTGATTTGTGATAGCCGGGAAATGAGAGATAGGGACAAACCACTTCGGTGCATGTTCCACTCTGATTGCAAAACAGGCATCTTGAAACAAGAGATCTGCTTAACAAAGATTACTGGAAACTTTTTGGACCTAGAAAACAGTTGAGATACATGAAGAAATGAAATTAAATACCCCTGGGAAATGTGCTTTTCACTCTCCCTTTTTATTTTTTCCAAAAATGGTTCCATTTCATAGAAATGTTTATGATTTTGTGGAGGGTGATGGAAGTGAGACTGTTTTTCCTTGCCAATTTGCAACAATGTTTTTTCTCAGCAACTCTAATTACAATCAGCTGAGTTTGGGCTTGAGTTTACTCAAACATGCAGCCCCATTTTTTAATGACATTTGCCAGCTTTCCAGTTCTGCAATACACACATTTCTTCAAAGGTTAACATTTGCATTAAACACATGCACAGTTTGAAAGAGACATTTCTGAAAGAAAAACAGACATATTCAGGTAAATCTCATGCGCAGAGAAACATCTAAGAAACCTAAGTTTTAATATGATCCCAGAATTACTGAGAAATAATTCTACCAGAACACTAAACATAATCCTTCAAGTACTACTAATACTTTTTTGTGTTACAAAAATTAGAATACAGAATACAGTGGTGTCGTGGTTTAGGCCCAGTGCCTAACTGAGCACCACGATGCCCCAAAAAGGACTAGTCAAAATAAGGACTGGGAGGGCTTCTCACCACTTAAAAAGGTCACAGGCAAAAGACAGACTCATCATAAGGAATAAAAACAAAACAATTTTAATTTGTTACCAACATCAGAGAAGAACAATGGGAGATGCAACCAGATCTTAAAGTCAAAACACCTTCCCCCCCACCCCTCCCTTCTTCCCGGGCTCAGCTTTTGTTCCCGGTTTCTTCACCTTCCCCATCCCCCTTTGCCTTGAGGCGCAGGGGGATGGGAGTGGGGGTTTGCAGTCGGTTTTCACACAGTGTGCTTTTCTCAGGAGTAGGAAGAGTCCACCCAGCCTCTTTCTCTCTACTTCCACATGGTCCCTTTTCCATAGGGGAAAAAGCGCTCAGAAGTCCAATATGGGTCTGCCCACAGCTGCAGCTTCCCTCACACACGAACTGCTCCAGCACACACTGCCCAGAGTCATGGCTTCTTCAGGGGCAGCCACTGCTCACATGGCCCTGCCCCACCGCTGAGCTCAACGGGTTGCAGGCCAGTCGACCTGGCTCTCGCCACGGATTACAAAAGGGGAACCTGGGTTCTGTGTCCTCCTCCTCTCTCTCTTTTCTCTTCTTCAACCGACCTTGGTGTTCTTCAAAGTTTTTCTCCTCAGGCCCCACTCTTTTCTTCACTGCAGGTCTCTTCTGATGGTTCTGGACTTCCCAGCTCACTCGCTCTCTCTCTTTTTTTCAGGATGGAGC